TATGGGTAGTACTTAGTAGCATTTTGTATGAAAACTGAAAGCTAACATAGCCTTGCCATTACATTGGTCTATTTTCCGGCAGAATCCGCACATATGTCTATAATGGAAATATGTAGATAAAATGAGAAATCCCCGTTTTATGATCAAAACTAAATTTTTTGTGTGCAGAAGCTTTGTTTGAAGCAGAAGTTTGTTTGAAACACCAAAACAAAAAGCATCATTGTTTTAAAAGTTTGTTTTTAATTAGTGTTTATATATACATAATTGATAGCGTAAATTTATTCAAGGTGTGCAAATAACAGAATAATTTTTTAACAAATCTATAATAAACAAAAAAAAAATTCATAGCTTGGCGAAATATTATAATAAAATATTAAAGAGTAAAAGAAAGGTTATATCTTTGCAAACAAAATTCGAAATTTTGACCATCTCTGTAATAATTAAAATATTAGATTTTGCTAATTTTTATCAAAAAGCTACAAGTTATTAAAGGTGTTTCATATTAAATATATTAATATTTATTTTTTGTTCATGTGTTTATTAATCATATTAAAAACTGGTAAAAGTGGCTCTTTTATAGTGATTTTCGTTTAGCGCGGTTTTTCCTTATAAGAGTAAATTTTTCGTTTTACACGTTCTCCTTTATGAAACCTGTCTTTCGTGTAGGTACATTTATAATTATGAACCTAATTCTATAGTTGATTTTATTCTTTGTATTATATACAAAATGATTTTTTCACATGATGACAATGTCACATGTGTGAAAATGAAGAACAATTAGAATGATTATTCGCATTTACATAACACTGAAAGCGTAAACAAATTTGCTCTTTGCTTAAATCATTCATGATTTATATCCAATAATTAGTATTTAAATTCTTTTTAATTAATTAAACCGTTTGTTATATATTTATACTGGGAAAACAAATATTTTGCTGATATTTAAAAATAAATAACAGCTTATCTGGAAGAGTCACTAATTAATACATGTTCTCATTATTGATTGTAACACAATGATTGCAATTATTGGTGTTTTAATAAACTTGTTTATAATTTGATAACTATTTGATTCAACAAAGTGCTTATCTGTATACCTTCCTTGATGATACTACGCAAAATGTTTTTTTTAAATAACAAAACATTAATAAAAAAAACACAAACATTTTAATTACTTAGGCCTTTTATTTTGGTAGTTTGATGGACTGTATTCTTTTAGCAGAGGAGCTAAGGGTTTTATTGTAACAGTTTTTTTGCAAATCATATCTTGATATTCACTGATTACATTTCTATGAAATAAAGATAAATAGATGATGTTCCTATTCCTCTATCTAATCAAATAAAAATAATTTCATAACTAATGCTCATTATTTCACAAATAATCATTTTCTAATTATAAGAAAAAGTGTCTTACCGAAGCAAGTAGTAACGACACTAATGCCTCTGGTTATCCATTTTTCATTTATTTTTAACAAAATTGACATCTTTCTAAATAAGTGTAACATATTACTCCTGTAGCACATTTTACATATGCCCACAACTTACAAATGGTACACATTACCAAATTTGTATGTAAGATTAATCACAAACCAGATAATACCACTTTTCTGATTCAGGGGCTGATTCTGCCAAGGCTATTTTACGTAGCATTTTACATATAAAATGGTACTAAAAACTGTCAAAATGCCAAGAATTTGCTGTGCACTCAGGCGTTTTACACTTAAAATGTAACTTCACTCATATATGTAATTATGCCACATCACAAAGATGCACTTATGATAAGATTGTGATATGATCTGACATAGCATTTTGACAGTTTTTAGTACCACTTTATATGAAAAACGCTACGTAACATGGCCTTGTCATAACATTGGTCTATTTTACGGCAGAATGATTTTGAATATCGTTTTTTTTAGTTTTGCCTCAAGATTTTATTACAAGTCATCTGTGACTACCATTACAATACAACATATTTATGATTTTTTTACATTAATTAAGATGAATATTTAAAAAATTTAGCAATCAAAAAAAATGTTACACATTATCAAAGATTGATAAATTTGAAACAAATTAAGATATATAAAATTCAAAATTAGCTGATAATAATAACACAAACCGAAATTTTATGCTACAATAGTTAATTAGTCAAAAATGACGGACCTACACAGTTCTGTTTATTGCGCCGGCAGGACGGTTTACATATCCAATCGAGATAAAAATAATTTAATATCGTTCAAGAACTTATTGAAAAACGGTTGTTACTTGTTACCCTGTTGCAATAAGTCCCTAGCTCCCCTACAATTTTACATGTCTTGAAAAAATCTATAACAAGACCTATGGGCTGATTTTGCCTTAAAATAAACCAATGTTATGGCAAGGCTATGTTACGTTTCAATTTTCATACAAAATGCTACTAAATACTGTCAAAATAAATAAATTAATAAATAAATAAATAAAATGTGTAAGTATTGTAAATATAAAAATTGTTAATGTAAAAATATGTATTTGCTTTTACACATATAATGCAACTTCACTCATATGTTATCAAGCCATATCTCAAAGATGCAGTTAAGGGATGACTGTATATTATTAAATAGATGTCAATAAAATCATATAAAAAAAAAGATGCAGTTACCATAACATCCTTTTTTTGATATATGTGCGTTTTCTAGGTTAGGTTTTCTATGTAAAACGCCTGACTGCACAGCTACCACATAGAATTTTGGCAGTTTTTAGTACCACTTTATATGAAAACTGCTACATAATACATACCATAGCCTTGACATAACATCGGTTTATTTTACGGTAGAACCGGCCCCTTACTTTCAATTTTTGGTGCACCATTAAAATTTTTACAACTGCTCTATTATTTCATTAATTACTTCTTCTATCCATACATAAATTTTTTCCCATCATTGAAATGCAAATTGAATACCATTCACGTTTAATAAATGTTACTATCTAAATGTCTCCATAACAAGGCGACATATTGATTGATATGTTCCAAGTTAAGTCGATATAAATACTGGAACAATTTCTAATTCATAACGATCAACACATTAATTGTACAGGATGTAGTTATTTACGAATTGCACATTCGTTTAAATAAATTATGATATCATTGTATGCTACGGAATCGCCAAAATATTTCTTTATTTATATTTGCTGAAGTATTTTATTATACACTTGTATTACTTGCTTATGTGGAATTTATAAACAAAAACTATAAATACTTATATTAGAATTTGACTTAAAATATTTTTAATAGTTTGTTAACTGGCATTCAACGAATGAAGTGTATTTCAAAGCTAATAAGCAGCTATTTTTTATTTTAATTCATTCATATCTAAATATATTTAATTGAAGTCTTATTCTAATTGCCTAGGTTCAATATATTTATTTCAAATCAGTTGGTGATTGTGTGGTAACAAAAACTTGGTAACGTTAATATTAATTTTTATATCTCGTTAATATTTTTATCTTATTTTCAAATACCGAAATAATATGAAAAATTCTGAAATATTGCTATCGAAGTATTACTTCAAGTGATATTTTGTGTAAATTTTTTAATGGATTTTGTGCTTGTAGTGGACTTTTCGACTATAAAAATATCATACGCAAATTATCAAATCTTAATAATTACACTAAAAGCTTATAGAATTGTTAATTGTTCTGATTGCTATTTGGAAAGTTAATAAAAATTGATTTTATCAATGTTTTTGTTATAATTCACCACTACAATTTCAATGGCTAGAAGATTACCAGTACAGCCAACCCTCCTATAACGCGGTACTCTTAGAGCGCAGTTTCCCTAACACCCCATTTATTCTCTCCGCGCAATCTATAAATGTCTTCAGTAACTAGATATTGTTATAAAATGTTATAATATTGTCCATTTTGTCCTTTACAATATACAATTTAGTTTATAATAGTTTATATCATAGTTGTGTACGGTACTGCTTTTAGTGTCAGAGCTTACAGAACGTTAGTCTATTTAAAAAAAAGTTGAATTTTTTTTTGCTGGAAAATCGTTTTTTTTCTGTTTGGTTTTTGTATATTTTTTAATAAAAGTAATTTGTGATTTATCTTGTTTATATTCCAGAACAAAATGTTTGTTTCTGCTAAATAATCCACTTTTGTAGGTTACCTTTTGTAGGTTAGGTTTTATGTGCAAAGCGTCTACTCGCACAGTAAATATATAACTTTTTAAATGCAGGTAAAAAATAAATGCATGTGACATCTTACTATACCCCTTCCACCCCCACGTGATATTTTGTGATTTTTTGTCAAACACCCCGCGCCATCCCCTAAAAACTGTGCACGTCGTCAAAAATTTGTACAAAAATTTCAAATAACGCGATAAAAATGCAGCATCTTATACTAAATTTGAGTTGTTCATAGCACGGTTCTTATATAAGGCGATAGCCAGTTTTCATAGAACGCACTATATTTTAGCCTGGTTTGCGCGTTAAATCCGAGTTTCTTGAATAAAGTTTTGATTAACAAAAAAAATCCGAGTTTTTTACAGCACGGTTCCCATACTGCACGGTACGCGTTGGGAGGGTTGACTATAATTAAATTGATTTCATTAATACATACAATGTTTTATTTATTATTTAAATTTATATTTTTGTATTTCATGTTTTATTTTTTATAATCCTCAACAATTTTGTATTATAAAGCAAATAAAGTTTTGATTAACAAATTAATACAAACAGCTTCTGATGACTGTTGGAGCAAATAAAAAATATTAAATAATATTAACTTTACGATAACAGTGCGTTATTATCGACTGCTGTTTTTACAGTTCATACAATACGTTGTCAGTCACCGTTTTTCTTGAAGTATTAGAATCCGTTTGGATCGATTTAAAATAACAAATAATCAAGCAATGATTCATAGTTGCAATTGTTCGTGAATGATAATGACAATATTGTGTTATGCATTCAATTATTTCGAATTTGTTTAACAAAATGCCTCCGGTTTCGTATGCGTTGTAAACTGCTCCAATTGGCTGCCGGACGAAATTCCATTTTATTTGCTCCATAAGACCAGTGTTCTTCTGTCTGTTGACAAATACGGTGCAATTATAATCATAGATAGTGGAATACGGAAAATAACTCAAGTTTAGTGTTAGATTTAAATTTTTTTAAATTAACAAATCAAATGTTACAGAATCGTGGGTTATTACAAAGAAACTATTTTATAAACAAGTGATACATAATCCGGTAATGAATTGTTTAAGATGAACGCGCTTTCAATAACATAACACGTAACCGTTAACCATAATAAAAAATTATTCTTTACCATTATTAATGTAACTTGATTTCATATCCATACAGCCGTGAACATGAATACCACAGTTAATGATTATATTTTAATTACTAATTAATTTTGCTAGTGTTAATTGTGATATAAGTAGTCAACGGTCTGTAAATTATTATGACCGACATTAAAGGAACGCTAAGTGCAAGTGTGAAATAAGACTTTGGGATTTAGTGCGAAATTATTGTCAGAAGTGTAACATGTGTTAGAGGAGTTAATAAGAAGTTATAAATTCTGTGTTCATATTATCAGTTGCTCATTATGAGCGCTGCTAAAGGCTACAGGAAGGTTAAGAATAGAAATCGCATTATGATATCAACCATGGTGCACTGGACAAAGGTATTTTTGTAAAAAAAAAATAATTCAATTGTACGGGGTCTGCCAAATCAGTTTTTTGATTGGCAAAAAACTTTATTTTTTGCTAGCCGAGGCAGCCATTTACATTAAATTATTTCCTATTATCAACCGGAAGGATTGTACTTTCAAGTGAAGAAAGAAATTCAAGAAAATATTCAGTAGTTTTTTTATAGCATTTTCAAAAAGTTATTTGGCGGACCCTGTTTATTGTAACATGTAATTAAAGCGAATTTCACTATTGCTTATGCATAAATTTATTTGCCTGATTATATAATAATATTTTACCTACAAATAAGAAATTAATGCCTCGAAAAAATCGTAATTTGCCGTAAATTTTCTCACCATCTATAATATATAGGATATACAATGTGATTATTTAGTATGGAGTTAACAATTCTGGGTTAATTTTTAATTTCTTATAGGGTATTATAATTAAATTTTGGTATTAGGGTGTTATAATAATCGCACAAAAATCGATAATGAGAATTTTTATATGCTTTTACGTTTCAAAAGATTCTGAACATCTTATCTTATCTTATCTTAGAAAAATTGATGTATGTATGTGAGTGCGGATACAAATTTTCGCGACGATTTCGGAAACCAGGATCAAGCGATTTGAATAATTCAAAAAACATTCGATTTATGTTGATGGAAAGACGTGCTGATTAGTTTTTGGCAAAGGCAGGTCCAGCGGTTTTGGAGATCTAATAAGAAAGTAAAAAAAGCCATTTGGCGATCAATAATGATCATTAGACATATGCATATAAAATTATCAGATATTTCATGGAGATATAAAAAATTAGTACTAATTTTGTCTACATTTCTATGGGTTTCGTACCTATGTTTTATGTTAATTTGCGACGCGGCGCTTACGCGCTTCTATATTTTGTCTCTAAAACAGCTCGCTTGCTTTGATAGAAAGTTCAATATTTTCAAAAAAATTCAAAGACAATTTTTTTTTCAAAAATCTAGTTTTTTTTTCAAAATTTTCGAACATTTTTAATTTTGGTATGGAAACTTCCAACAATTTGCTGTAAGGTACGAAACCATGCACCACTAGTTTTTTTTTGCTTTTTATATAAAATTACTAAAATCAACTTTACTATTAACCAGTAAAAACCTGTAAATAGTTGAATGGCATAAAATTGTGGAATAGGTAATTTATTGTAATTAATTATATTAGCCCTTTCAGGTACATTTGGTTCATTATATCATTTTTAGAAATGATAACGCCGAACGATTTATTCAATTGTGTTTAATTTCTTTTAAATATTGGGCGGAAATTATATAAAGAGACATAATTTTGATATTTACATTTATGATGAATACAATTACATTACAATTCATGAACTGTAAATTGTTGAATGGGCTCAAAACTTGTATATTGTAATTAATTATTATCACCTTTTATTCAGGCGTATGAATGCATAATATCATCTTAGACATGATACCGCCGTACGATTGTCTGATTAATTTCTTTTAAATTTTGGGCGGAAATTATATAAAGAGACAAAAATTTTGATATTTACATTCATAGTAAATCTGACCTAGGTCCGCCAAGTTAATCGCCCGAAATATTTGTATTTTGTCTGTTGGGATAACTTCGGGGGCATCTTCCTACCTGTAGAATGCATAGGTATTATTTACCTGTTTATGACATAATGGCAAAAGGTTTTCGATGTAACTGGATTTTATTCATATGCCACAATTGGAATCATTTCAGGGCTTGGGCTGATTCATATATTTTTTGTATATATGTATTTGAATTTGTGTTGAAGTTTTTGATATGGGCTCGCCCGTAGGTCAGCGATTAAGAGCGACGGGACTTGTTTCAGAAGTCCCGGGTTCGATAACCACTTCGAGCAGCCTGTTGTCAGGCAGCAGTGACAACGATTTTCACTTGGAAATATAGATAGAAATATGTTTCCAAGTGAAAATAGCCCTTGCCCGGCATTGCTGCACCAATAAAATGTCGGCCCTATTAGATTAACTCTAATAACAAAAAACCATCAAATATGAATGGAATAACCATTGGGTTACCATCTAAAAAAAAATACGAAGTAAGGAGAAGTTTCAGCCCAACAGCTCATAGGACGTAAGGTTCTGATTGCTGTTCAAAAATAAAAAATAAAAAAAAAAAAAAAAGTTTTTAATATAAAATATGTACCATAATTCGGAGAATGGTTTAAGAGGGCCTAGAGGAGCTTGATAGTACAATATTTAAAAAAATAGATGTTTGTTTTTGGTTCTATAGTCAATTTTTAATTTCCCGTAGGGTAAGTTATAACAATTGCAAAAAAATCGAAAATCAAGTTTTTTATCTATTTTTACGTTTCAGAGGTTTCTGAACATTTTGGCGTACCTTTAATAAAATGGATGTATGCATGTGTGTGTGTGTGTGTGTGTGTGCGGATACAAATTTTCGTCGACGATTTCTGGAACTTGTGAATTAGAAGATGAAGAACTGATTAAATTTTTGGAAAGGCAGGTCTGCGGTTTCGGAGATCTAGTAAAAAATGTTAAAAAAAAATGCCATTTGGCGATCAAAAATGATCATTAGACATAGGCACATCAAATTATCAGATATTTTATGGAGATTTTAATAATATCCATAATAATAAGTTAGACGGCGACGCGGCGCGTACGCGCTTTGATATTTCGTCTATGCAGCTAAAGCAGTACGATTGCTTCGAGAAGCAGTACGATTGCTTCGAGAAAAAGTTCAAAATTTCCAAAATATTTCATTTCACATAAAGAAAACATTGTTTTTTTCAAAAAGTCTTTTTTTTAAACAAGTTAATTTTTTTCAAAAATTTCAAATTCCTCAAAAATCTAATTTTTTCAAAGTTAAAAAAAAAATTAATCTTTTTTAAACAAAATAATTTTTGATACGGGAAGTTTCAGCAAATTGCCTTAAAGCACGTTGCCATGCACAACTAGTTTATCCATACCCGGATGTCCAGATATTGGATTGGCATTAGATTTAGACATTTTTAAGTATACTACCAAAAATTTGCTGATATTCTTTGTGAAATCGGTGCAGATTTTTTTTTCTTTTTTTATCCATTCAAAGCCATGTTCTTCGATCTAAATTATGATAATTATTTAACTCGTCGCTCTTAATTAAATCACCTAATTTAATTTGCGTAATATACATTGGTAAATTAATGTTAATAAAATAACATCTGGCATAGAATTAATTTAAATTTAGTGTGAAATCTAGTGAAAGCGAGCATGTTCCGTCCTAATACTTGAATTTTTTTTACTATTTACACTACAAACGCATTGATATCTAACGAGCATAATAAACCGTTGTTCATTTTTTAGAAAGTTGATACCCATATAAGTATATTATCATTATAAATATGACAGCTTCAATTTTTCAATAGATTCTTAATTAACTTATTGTAATATATTTACAAATTCGTTTTAGGGCTTTGGATTCGAAAGTTTGTAGGCGATTCTCGTTTTAATAAAGAAAGGCATCTTCTGCTCAAACTTATATAAACAATCTTGTTTGCAGAAAGAATTTTTTGAATACCACTGATTTAACTTGCATACCACAAAGAGTAAATCCATGTGTTTTCTGCATATTTCTCATTCTTCCAATGCTATTGCTATATCTTTTATTTAAAAAAAGACATATTTACTCATTATCATGTTATTGAAGTAATGAGCATATATGAAGACCGAGCAAATCCTTTATACATTTTAGCACATTGCAATGTCCTTGTGCTCAATTCTTTTCTTTGAGGTCGTTGAATTCATCTTATGAGAATTTATCATATTAATAAAAGAACAATTAATGAACAGAGAATTCGTTCCGATGTTCTTAATTGTTGCTGATCTTTCGATATAGGATGTAGATGTAGAAAGAAGTCCATTATCGTTCGACAACGACACGAATTACGACATCTTGTCTGGGCTGAATGTAATATTGGATTTAATAAAGCTTTACTTAAGCAATTATATGATTATTTAGTTTTCAATATGATAGAGGAACCTAAGGCAAAAATCTCAGAGTTAACTTTTTTTTATAAGAAAACGAAATCTTTGACAATTTTCTAACTGTAAACTCTTTCCAGAAACTGTTCAAATGGTACCTTTCAATAATATTTTTTAATCAAATTTGGAATTTGAATTTGATTCATTGCATAGAAAACCAATTGAATATTTTTGGAAGTTGTAAAATACTTAAAAATAAATTAACAGTAATTCTTAAGAAACGACCAGCCAATCTTAACCAAATTTTTGAGTTTTCAAAACCAATATTGGTTATTTACGAAAACTTTGGCGAAAATTTTTCTAATTATGCAAGCTTTACCAAAATCTGACCTACTGCTATTTTTCAAGTATTTTTTTAATCAAGGATTTTCAAAGAATAAGGTATTTTAAAAATGTTAATCACAAAATTATTTTTGCATACAAAGCTATTATTAAATATTCTTGGAAATTTTAAAATATGTAAAAATATTAACTGTTATCCTTAAGAAGCGCCCGACCGAACTTTACCAAAAAAATTTTTTTTGTATTTTTAAAACCAATTTTGGACATTTAAGAAACCCGTGAAAAATATTTTTTTCAATTATTAATCACGAGGAAACGGCTTGACCGATTATTGCGAAAAACTAATTGACGCAAATTATTGAGAATTAACAAAATGACTTAAATTAATTTGAGTAAGTTTTACCATCAACATTTTTTATTTTCACATTTGTTGTCTGTTCTAGCAAATGTTAAAGAGAGTTTTCGCACATTATTTATATGTATCAAACGATTCAGAATGACTTGAAACGCCGATGGTATCAGTAGAATTGTCATGAAGTTAGTGATAATATACCATTGTGAGAATGACACTGGATGCCATAATTTTGAAAAATATACCTAGTTTTATTTTATTCCGAATTTATTAGATTATTGGTTCTTTTAGAAAATTCTATTTTTTATTTATGTACAATTAGCGATCAGAAAATATACAAATT